TCTATTTATTAAGCTAATTATACACAGAATAAACGAAATAATAGTTTAACTGCCCTCAGACGCTTCTTTAAAAACCCTGCTGACGTTTAATCATCAGCCACAATGACAACAAAAATAAATCCTGGCGGAGGCCTTTGAAGTAGCTGTTGGCATGGTGACGAGCAGGACTGCAAAAACAGAAGTTTTGGTAAACAAGAAGGAAGTACTGGAATACTCACTTGGAGTCTGACATTAAACACCATCGAAGCCACTAAGTATATATAGGGGAATCTGATTCTCAGTCGCCATGCCAGATCAAAAAATATCAACAAAGTCCTCGTCAAGCCTTTACAAAACACTCCGTAGGTCCGACCAGCGGAGCCCGAGAACCGAAGCACCAGATAAGACAGACCCGCCATGTAAGCCAGGTCTGCGGGGAGCTCGGCTGGCTGGTTAGGCGGACTGGCGAGAAGATGCCATTTAAGCAGCAAGTGATGCGCGACCCTTCATGGTTTCTTATCGCTGACAGAAACCCAGCTCCATGTTTAAACACCAGCTGCTGGCAGACGGAGCTGCTCCACTCGACACAACACGGAAGTGAAAATGCATGTGAGCTTTCACTCCCTGAGTTTGGACTCGCAGGCACGTCCTTACATTTACAAATTAAATCCAATAAGTAATGTAAGACTTTATTAACTGAAAACAGCATTCAATCAAAGAATAATTAGAATCAGAATCAGAATTAAGTTTCTTGCCAAGTAGGTTTGCACTTGAGAGGAATTTGATTGGTTTAAATAGTGCAGACAAATTAGATATATATATACAGAATACAGGATCTATAGTTATATACAATATAGAAAATACAATACTATATACAATATATAGTATATAGCTACGTACTATAAGACTTAGATTTATTTTGTCATTTCTTTATACACAAGTGTAAACAAAAATACATTTTTGTTAAGAACAGCTCTCTAGACAATTTCATTTTTTTTAAGTGCAGCCTTTAAAACAATAAAAACAGTAATATAAACATATAAGCACAGTACACTGTGCGTTAATGTGGCGCAGGAGGTCTTGAGATGCTATGTTGGTGTAGCTTCTAGGTTCTGAACGGGGGAGGGAGAGAGGCAGTGTCATGGGGGGTCTCTGGGCCTTTGTTGATAAGGCTGGTAGCAGATGGGAAGAAAATGTTATTGTGGCGTGAGGTTTTGGTCCTGATGGACCACATCCTTCTGCCAGATGGAAGTGATTGAAATAGTTTATGGCTGGGGTGCGAGGGATCAGCCACTATCTTCCCTGCATGCCTCAGAGTCCTGGAGGAATACAGATCCTGGAGAGATGGAAGATTGCAGCCAATCACCTTCTCTGCAGAGCGGACGACATGCTGTGGTCTTCCCTTGTCCTTGGCGGTGGCACCAGTGTACCAGATGGTGATGGAGGAGGTGAGGATTGACTCAGTGATGGAGGAGTAGAAATGCACCATCATTGTCCTTGGCAGGTTGAATTTATTTCAGCTGCCGCAGGAAGAAATTAAGCTAGACTACCTGTTATTGATTTCATTTCAATGTTTTTTATCTTTACTTTATATATTTGGCTTTGTTTATGTACAACCATTAATTGTATTAGTAATTTTTTTTTTTTTTTGCAACACGTTTCTTTAAAACATTTAATAAAACAGGAATTGAGATGGAGATACTTGTTATTTTATTTATTTGCATCTTAACTTTGATGCCACCCACCAATAATCATAAGAAGATGATGGTGATTAAGAAGACCTGGCTTCTTTTTTTTCCCCCCTCCGCCTTGCAAAAGATCTCCAAAATATTTACATTATGTTCACATCTTTTCTGTTTTCTTTTTTTAAATCTAATTTAAAAAAGAAAACAGAAAAGATGACTTTGACTACCCCCGAGTATAATGCTACAACTACCATGTAGGTATTCTTATGTGCAATGCAGTTTTTTGCAGTTTGTGTGTGTGTGTGTGTGTGTGTGTGTGTGTGTGTGTGTGTGTGTGTGTGTGTGTGTGTGTGTGTGTGTGTGTGTGTGTGTGTGTGTAACGGCATTTTTACTTCTCCATTGTCTCTGCATGCATGCTTGATGGGAAGGATTTCTGTAGAGTCAGGCACAAAATGCAAGAGAATATATACTGTCACCACATATTAATTTAGGGGAAGCATGTCCTGCAAATCAATGATTTAATGCAATCTGCTTTTTTCCTTATACAGAAACTTTTTTTTGTTTTACCAATCTAACTGTGTGATCTGATTTCATTGTCTCTGTAAAGTGCCTTGGGATTTCATATGATTGTGGTCACATGTACAATACAATAACGAAAGCCTTCAGTTTGACTGGAACTGTCTGTTAGCCTGGTTTCTCAGTACACACTCACAACTAAAGATGATTTAGAGACACCAATTAACTTTTCTGAATATGAAATCAAAACTTCTGATATTATATGTTTCTTTTAGTAAATATTCTTCCCACCTAATCCCAATACATTTACATTTATTTCTATATTGACAGTTTAATCTCCGAATGATTTGATCTCTGAGGTTGAAGTAGTACCTTTAAGGCACAGCTCAGGAAATATCAGCTGAAAAAAAATTCCACAATGGGGACGCATGCGTCACTTCCTCTCTGTGTTACACCCTAAACCGTCCGTGTATTTTTTTTTTTTTTTTTTTTTTTTTTTACAAATACTTGGTCTAAATGTTCTAGTTTCAAGTGAGGAGAAGCCAGTGTTCCATATGGGCCAAATGTTTTTGTAAAATATAATGAATATCTGTTTTGTTCTGTTTTTTTGTTTCATATCAGCTTTCAGCGACTACAGTTGGACGGTTCTGGCCGATGTTATGCATTAAAGTGATGTCTGCCTAAACTAATCGGGCGCGTTCCCACGGAGTGGGAGGAGCTTGGGGAGCCAGAGATGGTGTCCTTCTCTGTGATTTAGTTTATAAAATCAAACACTATTATCCACAATAAAAATGATATTATTAAGGTCTTTCTCGATTAACTTTTTTTAATACAATAAAAAAAAAAAAAACGTTAGTACAACTTCCATTTTATTTTGGGGGTTGTGTGTAAACCTTATTGCATTTTACTTTAAAAAGCTCGTGAAGTTAGATGGTACAAGATGGGGAAAAATGTTAAAAGACAAAAGCATTGAAAAAAAAATCATTAAAAAAAAGAAAAGAAAACTGCAGGTATATTTTGAAAAGGTTCTGTCAACTTGGGTTATTTGGGGAATATTAAACACCATGCAAAGGAGCCAGTACACTCTAATATGAAGGATAAAATCTAAAAGACAGAAGTAAAGTCATTTTAATGCAAATTTAATTCTAAAGAAGATTTGGGCCTATAATAACTTTTTGGCTGGTTAAATAGTCATATTTGGTCTACTTTTTTATATTTTTAGTATGGGAAAGGCTGTATTCAGCAAGATCTATAAAGTCTAATATCTCTAATATAAGCAATTTTAGGCAGAAATTACATTTCAGTATTCATATATTAAACCATAACCTCTTATTGGCACGTTAGGTTGGCCTAATTTTGTCAGTTAAGGGAAGTTATTCAGTGTGTGAATAAACTATATTATTTCCTTTAAATTTGGCATACTACACTGTGCAGTATCTGCACTTTCATTTTTTTAAGATAAATAATCAATACCTCCTGTAAAAAACAAGGTACAAAAAAAATTCTTTTCAATATTTTATTTGCATCCTTCACCGTACTGTTAAGTTCCAGAATGGTCCTATATTTTAGTGAGCTAGTGCAGATACTTTGACAAAAGTTTATTTTTATTGACATAGTGACATAGCCCCATTTAGAATGTAAATTTGCAGATATTTATGAGAGCAAATGTAAAACTGACAAAGGGAAAAAAAGACACACCTTTTCTGTAACCTTGGTCTATGGAAGAGGATTAGGGCCACTGGAAAAACAAAAAAATGTTAACTGATTTTAAAATTTTATTTCAGTATAATAACAGAAATAAGTCAGAATTTTGACTTTAATCTCAGAATTTTGACTTTAATCTCAGAATTCTGACTTTAATCTCAGAATTTTTTATCTTAATGTAGATGGACACCATGAAGGAAGGGATGTGGGAGCACTCAGCTTCACTGACAAAGATGTGAGTTGTTTGGGAGCCAGTAACACATTGGGGGGGAATGATGCAATTAGGCAACTTTTTACGTGCCCGAGGGGTCCCCGGTGATGCTATTTCATTAATGGAAGAGCAGAAGGTGATTAAAACAAGAGAGCTAATCTCTAAAATAGACATGGTTACGACTTTATTCTAACGTGTTTGTTAGCTGTCAGAATTCAGTCAGTATTCTTAGATTAAAGTCAGAATTCTGAGAAAAAATGTCAGAATTCTGAGATTAAAGACAGAATTCGGACATTAAAGGCAGAATTATGAGAAAAAAGTTAGGATTCGGACATTAAAGTCAGATTTCTGAGACTAAAGTTAGAATTCTGAAATTAAAGTCAGAATTCTGAGATTAAAATAGAATTCTGAGATTAAAGACAGAATTCTGGGGAAAAAAGTCAGATTTCTAAGAAAAAAGTCAGAATTCTGAGAAAAAAAGTTAGATTTTGGACATTAAATTCAGAATTCTGAGACTTAAGTTAGAATTCTGAGGGAAAAAAAAATAGAATTTGGACATTAAAGTCGGAATTCGGACATTTAAGTCAGAATTCTGAAATTAAAGTCAGAATTCTGACATTTTTCCCCATATTAAACCGAAATAATATTTAAAAATCTGTTAACTTTGTTTATTTTTTTCAGTGGTCCTAATCCCCTTCATATTGGTCATAACCTTTTTTTTTATCGGTGTTAAATGTTGTTTCATTTCAAACAAGAGAAAGATCCTTGAAACAACACAGACAGGTTGAGTTCAGCAAGCTTCTCCTCCCGCGTGGACGCGCCCGACCAGTTCTGGTCGTGCTACCATCTTATTGCACAACACCAGTGTACCGGATGCTCCATCTGCTGGTGGCCAACTACATTTTTTTTTTTTTCTACCTCAGGGGTGGTGGCCGCTGTTTTGCTCCATTGCTCCCATAGCCAACGCACGAAAGCATGGGAATGTTGCGAGGGGATTTATGAGGAAAGTTTAGATAAAGTGCAAATTAAGTTAGCTTAAGTCGCTCTGACGGGGTTTTAACATCAGTGGAGCTCAACGGCAAACAACGGTGGTGTTTAGCGGGATCCTATTTGGACGTTTCTCCAACGAGCAGTTCCGGACAAAGGAAAAGAAACCTGAGCTAAAGCTAACTGGCTCTCTCGGGCGATGCAGGCCATTAAGTGTGTCGTTGTCGGAGACGGGTAAGTTAACACAATTAACCTCAATACATGCTTTTTTTTCTACTAACTCGCGTTTAAAGATTAAATTGTAATGTTAGCTTTGATGTTGTCACTCGCCTGGCCGTTGATAAACCACTTTGCTTCCCAGTTTTCCTAACGGACAAAGTTAGCTTCTAGGCTTTAACTACCTGTTAATCGGTCCCACATTGCTGTTTCAGTTCACTTAAGTTTTCCTTTTTTAGTTTTAATTCATACTTTCTCGACATTCAATACATATAGATACTTATATAATATAGTTTAATTGTTTTCGCCCAAAAGAAGTGAGCTAACCTTTTACTGCGGCTATTCTGGTGTTTTAGTCAGATATAACAGCCTAGCTAGTGTATTTTACTTTAACCCGGATTTATTAGGTTCTTTTCAAAACTTAGTGGACAAAAAAAAACAAAAAAAAAAACAAGGAGTTGGAATGTTTTCGGTTTGAAAATATTTCTGTCTGTTTCGCTTTGCGTTTATATGGGGCGTGTTTTCATTTTATGGTAAATCAGGTTGGAGTCGAAAGGATTAATTTAACTCATTGGCCTGGACTCTCCGTCATATGTTTAACTGTATGTGGGAGTTAATCATGTAACCTCTCGGCCAGGGTGTGGTGAAAACCACACAACAGTCATCTCTGGGATTTTAGATTGCCATTTTTCGATTCGGATTAAAAGGGAAGCTCAAGTTTCGTGATTGGGAAATAGCTGTTCCCCTGGGAGCTGAGAAAGTCTCACAGGAACCGATCCCTGTCTGCTTTTATTGGCCTGCTGTGCTGTAATCAGGGCTCATTTCTGCTTAATATCTGTTTATTTTTAATCGGTACTCGAGATGTTTCTACATTGCTATTTTTATTTGGTTTACGTTAGTGTATGTTGGTAATCAAATCTGGTTTAATTCAGTGGATAATTAAGAATTTTGTCCCTCCAGCCTTCCGTAGAAAAAAAATCAGTTCTAGAAAATTTAATGCAACATTTTATCTTGGTGATTCTTCTAAATCATGTTATTATTAATTTTTTTTTTTTTTTTACTAAACTAAGAATTTTTAAAATAATTCTGGAAAGATGTTTGTACTTATTCACCATTTAAAACCCTAATTTGAAAATGTTATATCTAAACAATTTATTTCACGGATCTAAATATCTTTGCCAAGAAAGGAGCAAGTATCTAAGTCTATCCAATTTCCCTTAATCGAGCTGCTCTATGATTAGTAAACCAGGTGCAAATAAATTGTGATTGTATTAATCCTGACTTCTGGTATATAAAATTGCATATTGTCAAAAGATTTATAGACTTATGATTTGATGTAAATATGGAACTAATGTGATACCTTAAGTTTCTGTTTGCTTTAAAACCTCTGGCCTCATTAAATTAACAGATGCATGGGGTTTTTTGTGTTTGTTTTTTTTATTCCTTGTAAAAAGAAAATCAAAATAGTTTTGTCATATTTATTGGCTGTTGTAGCCCTTTAGGTATTGAAAAGGAAATGATGAATGCATCCTGTTTTAAGAACCAAAGAAAGAGCCTTTAATAGGACTTGTAGGTGTCATCAGATTGTGAAAGTTGGCCTATGGTTAAAAAAACTGAAACATGAAGTACTGTACACGTTTAAAACAGTTGGTCAGATAAAAAAAGCACTGTAAAATCTGGAAGGTATAAAAAAGTGTTAAAGCAGTTGTAGAGGATAAGGAACTTAAGAAACACTATCATCTATCGAGGAAACATTAAAAAATAGAAGGGGGGGTTATTTCTAGATTTTTAAAAGTTGATGAAATCGATGTTTTAAAATAAACAAAGAAAGTGGAGACATACATGGAAGAAGAGAAGAGGGAAATTGTCCTTGTCCTTTTCTTACTGCTACCAGCAATAAGCAGTTATAAGCTAACTTCAGTATATTTGTTGTCTCTGGATATGTGTAACATAAAAATGAGCAATGTTAAAACCTATCAGCTTAATAGTTTTCTGTAATACTGGCATAGAAATCAAGTTGAGCAGGATAGTCAATTTAGAAAACAGAAATTAATAGAAAGTAGAGCTTAAACAACTAATCAGATTAATCGTGATTAATTGATTATTGAAATAATTGTCAAGTAATTTAATAATCAATTCATTGTAAAATGGAGTTTAGGGACTCTAAAACATCCTTTATCTGACAGAGCAACCCACTTAGAGCAGTAATTATACGAAAATTGTAAAAAGGATTATATACATTGTGGATTTTAGATAAATAAAATAATTTTCGTTTGTCATTATTCTCTATCCAGAACTCCTCAAGTGGAATAGGTTCAGTTTCACCTGGTTTCATTTTGTAAGAGTCTTCTTTAGGCAACCTTTGGCTATCTGATAATTAATCGATTAATTGAAAAAATAATCAACAGATTAATCGATTAGGAAAAATAACGTTAGTTGCAGCCCTGCTAGAAAGCCGTAAAATTTTAGATTAAGTTATTCTTTAGGTATGTAAATGATGCACATTAGAATCAAGTTTGTTTTACATGTATGCATTTAAGAAAATTTAATGGGATAAAAAAAATAAGTATAAAATAAGAAGTGCTGGGAATTTCTAAAAATTTGGTGTGAAGTTTCTAAATGCAGGCTAATATTAAAAGTAGAAAATAAAAGCTATTTGTACGAGTTGCTCAAATGCTAAACATCAGGGGATCTTTAAATTATTTTGACTGTAACTAAAACTTTTATATTATTAGTGTAAAAACCTCTCTGACCAGTATGTTTAGGAAGGGGTTTGCTTCTGTTATTGTTTTGTTATGCTCCTAAACATTGATCAAGTGCCTTCTCCTTTCCAGTGCTGTGGGTAAGACATGTCTGCTCATCAGTTACACCACCAATGCCTTTCCTGGAGAGTACATCCCCACAGTGTGAGTGTCTGAGACTGCACTGCAGTTTCTGCTTATTTATTTATGACCAACTTTACTGTCGATTATTTTCCCCCACCATTTGTCTCTGACGTAGCCGGTGAATCATTTCTGTGTTCCTCTGAGGGTTCGGTTGTCTGCTTAACGTAACAATCAAAGTAACATAGTTGAGATTCAAGGAAACACATATTACAGGAAGTGATTATGAAAACCCGTTTCTTATCAGATGAAGTAAGTGCTTTGTTTATTTTAACGCTAGTTTATAGAAGAAGCTGAATAGGTATTTTATATGCAGGATATTTTATCTAAAAACTTGGGAAAAAGGTGCATTATTTTCTCTAGAAATACAAAATTTCCATATATTCTGATTTATGGTATTTTGCTCATTTGAACACCATTTTCCTCAGCTTTGACAATTACTCTGCCAATGTTATGGTGGATGGTAAACCAGTGAACCTGGGTCTTTGGGATACAGCAGGACAAGAGGACTATGACAGACTCCGCCCACTTTCCTACCCACAGACGGTACGAAAAGGCCACATATTTTAACAATATATCTCACTTATTAACTCCTGTGAATAATCCACTTGAAACAAACGGCTAAAGAAATGGAACAAGGAAGTTTGGAAAAAAAGAAACACCTTGATCAGGATAATCTTTAACATCGGGTGAAAATCTCAGACTCATTGCTCTTTTTTTTCTTTGTGTTATCAGGATGTGTTCCTTATCTGCTTTTCTCTCGTGAGTCCTGCCTCCTTTGAAAACGTCCGTGCCAAGGTGAGAAGTAATTGTGTGTGTGCGTGCCTTGCAAAAGTATTTATTAACTATTATTATGTGATTAAGGACCTCAAATGCATTTATTACAAGCTATGGATTACATACACAGTAATTACCTAAAGTAGAGTGCTGTGGTGCTTTTTGCTTCAAGTCCAGCAAATATCTGATAGTTATGTGATTCAGTTTAGGTTATGCATGTAGTACTGGGACACAAAGACTTAACTTTATGACTTCTGGGAAGTCAAAGGTCCAAATCGCTCATTATTGTTTAATTCTGTATACTACAAAGTAGTTTTATGCTCTTATGTACTTTATTTACTGCATTGGGTGTAGAAAGTTAGCAAAGCCTTAATTAGTCTTAAGGTTCTGGGTAAAAATTATGTGCTTTGTATTATTAAAAATAACTTTTAACTAATAATGAGGGCAGCAGTTACAGCTTGTTTGTAAGCCTATGCTTTAGAGACGAGGGAGCAAAGAGCCTTTATATACACCACAGTTTAAGTAGACCTTTGTATTCGAGTCATGGTGTTTAGCTTTACAATGCTACAATACAGGTGCTGGTCATAAAATTAGAATATCATGAAAAAGTAGATTGATTTCAGTAATTCCATTTAAAAAGTGAAACTTGTATATTATATTCATACATTACATACAAACTCATATATTTCAGATGTTTATTTTGTTTAATTTTGATGATTACAAATGACAACAAATGAAAATCTCAAATTCATCATATCAGAAAATTAGAATATTACTGAAGACCAATAAAAACAAAGGATTTATAGAAATGTTGGCCAACTGAAAAGTATGAACATGAAAAGTATGAGCATGTACAGCACTCAGTATTTAGTTGGGCCTCCTTTGGCCTGTATTACTGCAGCAATGCGGCGTGGCATGGAGTCGATCAGTCTGTGGCACTGCTCAGGTGTTATGATAGCCCAGGTTGCTCTAATAGTGGCTTTTAGCTCTTCTGAATTGTTGGGTCTGGTGTATTGCATCTTCTTCTTCACAATACCCCATAGATTTTCTATGGGGTTAAGGTCAGGAGAGTTTGCTGGCCAATTAAGAACAGGGATACCATGGTCCTTCAACCAGGTACTGGTAGCTTTGGCACTGTGTGCAGGTGCCAAGTCCTGTTGGAAAATGAAATCTGCATCTCCAAAAAGTTGGTCAGCTGCAGGAAGCATGAAGTGCTCTAAAACTTCCTGGTATGTGGCTGCGTTGACCCTGGACCTCAGAAAACACAATGGGCCAACACCAGCAGATGACATGGCACCCCAAACCATCACTGACTGTGGAAACTTTACACTGGACTTCAAGCAACGTGGATGAAGTGCCTCTCTTCTTTTCCTCCAGACTCTGGGACCTTGATTTCCAAAGGAAATGCAAAATTTACTTTCATCAGAGAACATGACTTTGGACCACTCACCAGCAGTCCAGTCCTGTTTCTCTTTAGCCCAGGCAAGACGCTTCTGACGCTGTCTGTGGTTCAAGAGTGGCTTGACACAAGGAATGCGACAGCAGAAACCCATGTCTTTCATACGTCTGTGTGTGGTGGTTCTTGAAGCACTCACTCCAGCTGCAGTCCACTCTTTGTGAATCTCCCCCACATTTTTGAATGGGTTTTGTTTCACAATCCTCTCCAGGGTGCGGTTATCTCTCTTGCTTGTACACTTTTTTCGACCACATCTTTTCCTTCCCTTCGCCTCTCTATTAATGTGCTTGGACACTGAGCTCTGTGAACAGCCAGCCTCTTTAGCGATGACCTTTTGTGTCTTGCCCTCCTTGTGCAAGGTGTCGATGGTCGTCTTTTGGACAACTGTCAAGTCAGCAGTCTTCCCCATGATTGTGTAGCCTATAGAACTAGACTGAAAGACCATTTAAAGGCTTTTGCAGGTGGTTTGAGTTAATTAGCTGATTAGAGTGTGGCACCAGGGGCCATCAATTTTGAACCTTTTCACAATATTCTAATTTTCTGATATGATGAATTTGAGATTTTCATTTGTTGTCATTTGTAATCATCAAAATTAAACAAAATAAACATCTGAAATATATGAGTTTGTATGTAATGTATGAATATAATATACAAGTTTCACTTTTTAAATGGAATTACTGAAATCAATCTACTTTTTCATGATATTCTAATTTTATGACCAGCACCTGTAGATGCATTTAGTATGTCTTATAACTAGTTCTTCTAAATCTTTCACATACAGAGATATTGTGTCATTGGTGTTTTTACTGTAGTTCATTTACTGTAGTACTTTGGATGGACATATGGTTACAGTTGTGGATCACATGATTACTTGTAAGTAAAGGGAGTTTCTCCCGGTGATAAACACACAGGAAGTTATTATCTGCTTCTGCAGTTCCTCCTCAGCTGTTTAAGAAGGAAACAAACAAATTTTTTTTTTTTTTTTTTGTTTTCCGGCTCCCTGCTTTACTACTGTTTTTTCTGCTATTGACTTCTTTTCACGGATTATAAAAATATTTATTTGGATTTACTATGTCTTTGCAGAATGAATTTGAGTGACATCCAATCTGTTTCTGTCCACCATTTTTTTTTTTGTTGCTCTAAAAATTCAACATCGTCTTAGAAGGCCTTGTCACTACCCGATCCGTCCCAGAAGCGCGGCCCATTCTGCGCATGTGCATCCAGATATACATCCGGGTCGTCTTCGATTTTCTTTTAAAAATACCTAAATGACGTTTTCCCTCCCCAAAAATAGTAAACATACTAAAATATAATGTGTTAAACGTTAGTAATGTATTTCCTGAGAAAGTAAATGCCGTTCTAAAATCCTTTCTGTTTAACCATCGTCTCTGCCCGATCTGCAGTGGAAACGGGATCCTACACTACTTCCGGTGGCTAACCTTTTCGGCTTTGGATTTAAATCTAAATCTAGTCTTTTTGAGTTTTATGTTTTCGTTTCGCTTTTAACCTTATGCTATATAATGCCTGATCTAAAGAAGGAAAGAACTAAAATACAGATAAACATGGTTTAATCATATTTTGCCGGACCGCCCTGAGCATGTCCCGTGATGACGTCAGAGAAGCGGTTAGATGGATAAAATGTAAAAGCATAAAAATTGTCTCACGGAAGTCATAAAACATTTTTTAAAGATGTGTATTAGCATTTTTTTGGTGAGTTAAGGATAGAAATAAGTAGTTTTACTACCGTATTTACATTATTTATGGACACCTGGATGTATATCTGTTCGCGCATGCGCAGGACGGATAGTGCTTCTGGAAAGGGTCGGGTAGTGAAAGACCTTCCACAAGGTTTAGTTCTTCAGTTTCAAACAAACTGTTCTTATTGAGTGGGAAGGTGTATCTCCAAATTGTTCCCTTAATGTTAGGTGCAGGGAATTGTCTAAAATGTCTTGATGTGCTGAACAATTCTGCTCCTTTTCTTAGGACCAAAATTATAGCACTTTATGCAGTGCAGTCAGGTTAATGTGGTTTTCTTTGCAGCTGCCAATCCCAGCAGTAGTTAACTTTTTCCATTTTAGGATGCTTTGCAAAGTACTTTTTAATGTCGGGCTGCTCTCACAGAAGCTTATTCATGAAGCTCTTAATGTGTGCCGATATCCACCAACCCCGCTCTGATTTTTACACAGGAACAAGTGGAGCAACTCGTTGAGGGAGAATATTTACTGCTCAGTATAAATGTTTACAGAAGCAGTCATCATAGCTAGGTGGTGGATTTTATGGACCTGTGGTCAAGGAAGTGTTTGGAAATCCAGAATTTAGGGATTAGAATTAGGGAGTCACTGATATGGAAAATAGGACTGATGTACCTTTCAAAAAATGATCACACCACCAACATTGTTTCTCCATCAAAATAAATGTTGGGTAGGAAAAATAATAATAAACTGAGAAAAAAAGATATGTCCATTTAAAAAAAAGGTACAATACTATTGATTTCTGTCATGTAGTGGTATCCTGAGGTCCGACACCACTGTCCCAACACTCCCATCATCCTGGTGGGCACCAAACTGGATCTGAGAGATGATAAGGACACCATGGAGAAGCTGAAGGAGAAGAAACTTTCACCCATTACATATCCTCAAGGCTTGGCCATGGCCAAAGAGATTGGTAACACCTATTTAAAGATCTTTTTGACCTGGTTACGTCTCTATAACTAAATAAAATGACAGAAATAAACGTCTCTTTCCTCCTTCTGGGTCCACAGGTTCTGTCAAGTACCTGGAGTGCTCAGCCCTGACCCAACGTGGCCTTAAAACGGTGTTCGACGAGGCCATCCGGGCCGTTCTGTGCCCCCCTCCCGTCAAGAAGAAGGGCAAGAAGTGCTCTCTCCTCTAAGACCTCCTGCAGCTTAAACGGATACAGGGGAACATGAACGCTAGCGGGGAGAGGGGTGGCTAAAGACACAGGAGAAACACCAGTATACACTCACATTCAATCTACTTCCGATTCTGTCCTTACTCGTAGCTCAAGCAGTTTTCATGAAAATAAATCATAGGTTCAGATTTAGGCGAAGGGTTTTGACGACTAAGAGTCCTAATAACTCTTTAATATATTAGACTGTAACAATATGAACATTACGAGGCCTTTTAAAATCAATTGGATGTTTTCTAAAATAAGCAGCAGGGTGTCTTTAATTTCCTCTTCCACCTGTTGTCGACCTTTTATTTGTTTACAGTCGGGTTGTTTGTTGTAAGGGGAAATAATATTGCCAAATACATTCTGCACAATAGCTGTTCTTTTAGCCTAAAAAGAGACTAGATCTGGTGATTCCGATCTGAAAGGTTTTCTGTTCATTCAGCTTCTCTGTAAATTGGCAATTTTTATCACATCCTTGTCAACAGGGAGCATCGTGGGTAATCTATAGCTTCAAAAAATCCAAGTTTGTCAATCCTTGGACGACTCATGACTCCTAAGACGACTTGGAAAACATGCGCCACCAACAGTGCTATAAAACCCCTAAAAATTTAAAGAATCCAGTATTTTCTGCATTTTTGTCGAATTGAATTTGTTGTTTATCTTTTCTGCTTTTCCCCAAATGTTTCTGAACCGAACGGCTGCCTGTATGTGTGAAGGCTGACATGATTACATATTGGAACAGAAATGTTCAGATGGTGATGGTGGAGGGGGGGAGAAGAGCACAAATTGAATGCTCTGTGGGCATTTACCGAATACCTTTCCTGCAACACTTTTGATTTTCTTTTCTCCAAGCATCACTACTGGCAAAGCTATGTCACAATGAAGAGCATCTATGCCTGCTAGTAACAGTACTGTCAGTCATGGTGTATTAGTGTAATCATCTTTTTGTTATAATCGTGATTTGACTATTTTGTATCTTTCTTCAGACGTTACGCTCACTGTATTGTTTAACTAACACTATGAATATCCTTTTTTTTTTTTTTTACCTCCACAGGTAACGCTACCTTAATCTCCCTACAAGCCTAGCTTTTTGTAATTAATGCTGATAGCATGTCTGTGCATCATATACTGAAAACTAAGATTAGAATGGCTACAGTTATATATATTTTTTTTGCCTATTTACAAAATGTATTTGAACTACTAGATCAGGGGTTAAGTACATGTTGCTCATCGGTATTCAGAAATCAAGCTGTGCTTTTATCCAAGCCAATGTTGTGACTCTTTAGTTTAAGAATTAAGAACTATTGTCACTTTTTGAAAAAGCCAATAAATTCCTGTAAAAACACCTCTGTTGTAGTCGCATTATTCACCACTTGGTTATACTTGCTTTTATTTAGAACAGGAGTCTTGGTTTTCTTTTAATTCTAAATAGTTATTAAGGAAATATGTGATTTTTGCAGTTTTAACAAAGTGGTTGGTATTGCAAGTGAAAGTGGGGTTTAAAAGGTTTGCATTACATTCTGATCATGTATTTTGTTGGTATCTACAGTAGAATTTTTAAACACTGGACAGAATTAAAATATTGTATGAATTTGGCACAGAATGTATTTGCAGTGCTTTTAAAGTCAGTATATAAAGCCACAAACTCTGCAATTCCAACCATAAAATGAAGGAAACAAGGCTTCTGACAGCTATCCAGTTTCAGTTCACACAGGGTTTTAGAACTAGTGTCAAAATATCTTCAGAAAAACACAGAAGTCCAGATGCCTCTGATCTAACCCTGTTTGCACAGGCGTACACAAATTCAAACTCAACAGTGTACTTATCAGGGTTAAATAGTGATGTAGTGATCATATCTTAATATTTCTGAAGATGTTTTTAACAATTAAATAAAAAAAAACTGCAAAAACTAAATTTGTATTTGAATAGGAAAATCTGTGAAACCCTTTTAAATGACTCTTAAAAAAAAAAATCTGACTTTATTTTTGATATAGAAAAAGATACAAAGTGGTCTACTTACCCACTGGACTTAACTGATAGAATACATGTAGTAAAAATGATCATCCTACCAAGTCTGCTTTATTTCAATCCCTCTCAATCAATATACATCCGAAATAATTCAGAGTGGGATAAGCTGTTAGCGAGGTTTATTTGGGATGGAGGGAGGGCAACAGTTAGGTATTCATCACTGCAATTGCAAAAAAACAGGGGGGGCATGGCCTTCTTTAATCTGAAAATGTATTTCTATGCAGCTCAACTGCGTTACTTGTGTTGCTGGTGTGATCCTGGATATTTTGCCAGATGGTAAGAGACTGAGACAAGCTTCCCTGGATACAATAATCAGACACTCATGGCAGAGGACACTATACCTACAGATTTAATAGAGTTATTTGACCCAATTGCTCCATTCACAAAGGAAATTTGGTATAATGTAGCAAGACAAAGTTGAAGAAAGGAAGAAAAATATTAAGATGGGTAACCAAAGACTTCAGGCAAGGAAGGCATGACCCAACATTTAAATATTGGCTTACAGCCTTTTGTAATTTATTTAATTACTGGGAAATGAGGAGTTTTCAATATCTTAAAGACAAATTCGGACTTGATAATAGAAAATTCTTTCAATACCTACAACTAAGAGAATATCACAATAAAGAAATCAAAGATGGAAGTGATCCTAATGCGGTTCTGGAAACATTGTGTGGTGCATATCAATATAAAACTCAAAAAGATTATCTCACAGCTATACAGTAGCCTGTAATGTAAAAAAAAAAATACAACTCTGTATACCAAAGTGGGATAAAGAAACAATGGTCACAATTTCAAATGAAGAATGGTATAAAATCTGTGAGATGTCTCAGACTTCTATAAATTCACCAAAATGGAGGGAATTTAACTGGAAAATTTTTATTTGATTCTTTATCACGCCATCTATTAAAAGTAAACATTTGTCCACCCAACAAATGTGTTGGAGGCAACGTGGCACTGCTGATGCCAACCATGCACGTTTTCTGGAAATGCATTGAGATAAAACCTTTCTGGCCTTCTATCTAGGGATGCATGATATTGGGATTTTGGCCGATATCCGATATTTTGAAACTCATGTAGCCGATAACGATACCGATGTTAAAGCTGGACAAAAATAAGTAGTCATTGAAAATAGCAGTTTTGTTATCCATTTCTGACACTTTAAAAAATAATATACTCAAATATATTTTCATATGCTGATATCAAATTGATTTTTAAAAACGCGGTATCGATCTATTTTACTTTCAAAATCTCGTGAAATTTCATCGTTCTGTTACAAACTCTCGTGATATTTTGCAAATTCTTGTGAGATTTTGTTAGTAAAATAGTTTGATACATATAAAAATTTTGTGAATTTTCGGGCGATTTCGTAGCATAACGATGACATATAGCAATATTTCATTAGTAAAAAAGATTGATATGGTGTTTTTAAATGGCAATATGTCAGCATATGAAGATATAGTGATATTTTTAATGTATCAATATTTTTTCCCTCGTCTTTAGAAGTTTTTAAGTCTGTAAAAAAGAAGTTTTTGAGGAAGAAGTAGTATTTATTTATTTATTTTTTTTAGACTTTAGAAACTCAGAAGCTGATCAAATATCGGGTTAAATATCAGTGGGGTGGCCGATGTCCCATATTCAGTTTTAAGGCCGATACCAATAGGGGGCCGATTATATCGTGCATCCCTACTTCTATCCACCTCACTCTGTGCAAAGTACTGTTGTATTCTGTTCCATTTACTGTTACCAAAATGTATCTTGGCCTTAAGTCTAATGTGAATAAAGGTGATCAGTATTTGGTTAAGATATTACTGTCAGCGGGGAGGAAAGCCATAACAAGAAGATGGCTCAGACCTGAGCCACCCAACCATACTCAGTGGATGAACATTGTGGAGGAAATATTCACTATGGAAAGAATTACTTTCATTTTCAGATTAAAAAAGCCCAATTTAAAGAAAGATGGATAACATATAAATTAGCCTCGAAAACTGTCTGACTTTTGGAACACGACAACCGGTTGCTGTGTTCCCTTTGTTTTGGTTCTGTACCTTGCCGATGCTCAGAGGGCTGGATTCTTTTATTGTCAAAAACAAAGATAAACGTTGGGGGGAAAAAAGATACAAAGTTTAGTTTTATTGAAATGTTATATTTTACATTCCTGTGGACTGGACTGCAGCTCTAGTATTTTATTCTTGGGGATTTTTCAGTTTTAACTTATCAGTGCCCAATTTTGTTTCTTGGCAGATACTTAAGTTATAAAACATCTACAGACCATCAATAGAAGCTTTTTATCTATTTCACACATAATTATTTTTCCCCTTTCCATTGGTATGCATTAAGGATAATCAGATAAAAGAAATAAGCTCTAAAATCAACTTATTGTAACTCTTGTTTAGTAAATAAATGTTTATCCAAGGGTAACGTCTCAAAAGTAATTTTAATTATAAGATAACCCAGCGTGTAACAATGTGATGTGAACAAAATGTACAATCCATTAATCTACAAAGGGTTTGTAATACATATGGCTCAAATTTTACATCTTGGAAAAAGTCTTCAGATGTTTTTCACATTTTTAATCTTCAGCAGCTCTCCATCTGCTTGGTCAAAACCTCATGAATCTGCAAATCGCAACAAAGTCCCCGAAGTTGTAGGTATGCTGAAAAGAGAGAAACCGTAAACAGTTAGAAAATCAGTTAAACCTTCTCCGAACAATCTTAAAAGATTCCAGAGAGAAAGGACAGATGGGTTATTTTAGCTTGGTATTAAACATTTTACTAAATCCGCAACTATTGTCAATTGGTTTGAAAGAAAAAAAGACTAAATATTACCTTTCTACTAACTCTGCCCCAACAATGTCATGGACATGGTACTTGATAGGAAATTTCACTTGTGAGGTGGTGCGTCGCTCCTCTAAGTCGGCTTGTAACATTTCATTATATTTGGACTTCTTCACCATTCCAAGCACCGCTTTACGGCCTGAGAGGAAAAGGTGTCAGACAATGCAAAGCAAACCGCTAAGGGCAGATATGCTGGTGAAAATTCAGGTCACAGTCATTCCAAAAAAGTAAAAAAATAAATAAATAAATAAAATCCACTGGACTTTGTTTCCAAGTTTGAAGTCGTTTTGCTACCCATACAGGAAGCTTTTTCAATTCAAAATGCCTTAAATAGCGTTGAGTTTGAGGCTTTATAGAGTGGACCAACAAAAAAGCCTTGTTTTGGCTTAGAAGGCTTTGGCTTCGTTTTTGATCCATTCTATAAAGCCTTGAACTCTATGCTATTTCTGACATTCTGAATTGTATAAGGTTCCTGGATGGGAAGCGAAACATCTTCAAACCTGGAAACAAAGTCCAGTGGATTGTTTTTTTTTTACTTTTTGGGAACTCTAAGGGCAGACGATGCAGAAATCAGATAAATATATAATGGGGGTCTAATAATTATATTAGGACCAACCTTTAATGAAATACTTTGTGAATTTGCCAGAGTTGGGAATAGCAAGCCACCAGCTGCCAGCATCCCTCACAGTCAGGACTCCCGACTTCATCAGTTGCCTTTATGGTGAGAAAATAATCCAATAATCTCTGAGAATTTAATGACAACTAAAAATATTCATTTTTTATTTCTTTTTAAGAATCTAAATAAATAAAACTCAGTATATCCCAGTATTCTTCGTACGTTATCTCAGAATCTGTGAAAAGAAACTCTCTCATCATCTTGTCTTTGCTGAAGCTCAGATCCGTGCAGGAGGAAACCACTTTCTCCAAGAACTTCTCAACGGTTGTCTGCGTTACTTCCCCCTCTTGGCCAGCCAGCACTTTGGCCTTGTAGTCTGACGCAAAAACCAGCCCAAACGCTTCGGTGTCAAACCCAAGCTGGAAGATCAGCAGCTCCCCACTCTCCTGGAGTTTATTCTGTTCAGCAAGGTCAGGGCTTCAATCGGAAATGTGCATTGCAAAATATTTCACATCAAACAATTCTTTTCAATATTCTGAAGCTTTTATCATGTTATTCTTAAACACATATACACTTTTCTAAGCTCCAAATTTGTTTTCTAAAATCTTTTTGCAACTGAATATTCCCATTGTGGGACAATAAAGCTGCTATTCTATTTAGGCACCATTTTATTTCAGTTTTTTAGCTGTAGTTTGGCAAAATGTGCACTGATTAAAAAGCTGGCTCACCACTTCTTTATCCACCAGGGTCTTGTCATTGTGGATGCTGTAAAGCTGGTGCTTCAGTACAATAGGAGGAAGGGTATCGTTAAAGAGCTTCCTAGGAAACAATGTCATGAGGTACTGCAGCGTAGACTTCACGTCAGCTGGTCCTTTTAGGTGAAATATGGGAAAAACATTTATACAGGTGCAGTTTGTTTTATCCATTTTTGTTTTTACAAAGGGCTTTTAAGGACACTCACCATTTCCTTCATTAACAGCCCCGAACTTTTCTGTTCCATTTCTCCTTTTCTTCACTTTGAAAGTGTCGGAAATCAGAGCGCGTTTTCTATTCATTCCCAGATACGCCAACTTTCATCCAAATCACATTCGCAGACCCTGCTTAGCGGCTCCTTACTTTACCAGACCTGATGTATGTGTTTGGAAAGAATGTTTTTCATAAATCCTGTCAAATTAGCAGCAGGTTTTCTTTTTTTAGCCCAGCTACCAATGTTAGCGCGTCTAATATAAGAGCAAACGTTTTCCTCAAAGGCCTAAAACAGTTACCTTGTAAATGCTGTAAAGATTTAACCCTCTTTTTGAAAACGAATAAATCAAAAAACCCTTTACTTCCTTATAAATTCATTCTTTCAAAGAAAAAATAACGATTTTTTTTAAACGCTCTTCTTCTTCTTCTTTTTTTATTATGGCGGATCACAAGCAACTTTAAGCCGCATACGGCCACCTACTGTACATGAGTCTGTAGCAACATTACTTTACATCAAATTCCTTTTTTTAATTTTTTTTTTTATTTTGTATTCTGTAGATACAAAAATAATGCTTTCCTTAATCTGTAAACATCCTTTATATTTTCTTAATTTCCCAATATTCCTTTAAGGCTCCATTCTTGGCCTGTCCTTCCCACCATCCTTTTCTATTTCAATGTTCTTAAGCTTTACAGTTAATCAGTATATTTTCTACATTTTCTTTTTCTTCACATCTTTCAAAATAATCATTATTTTTCCTCCCTATTAAATATAAATTTTCATTTAAATAGGTTTGATCCACTCTTAATCTGATAATTATTACTTCTTCCCTTCTGACACTGATTTTTGTACCTTATACAATCATCTTCCTTTCTTATCTTTGTTCCACGTCTTTTGCCATTTTCCTTCCCCTTTCTCAAAAGGAATTGTAATTGTTATTGTTCCCTCTAAAGCCCTTTTTTCTCATTTTAAACCCTCTCGTACGCCGTTTCTATTTGGGTAAAATGTCGCGGCTGCCACTTAATGGACTGGTGTGGAACAGCAACCGGAAATTGCGTACCGTTTGTTTGTAGCATTTAAAGCTAGCCAGCAGAACCGCTTCCGGACCAGTGTTTTATAAATAAGTACGTTAATGTAGCTTTCTATAAAGAACAGATAAGTAGTGTTTCGTTTGTACTTTGATTTAAAGGTATGTTTCCATTAATTTTCTTATTTTGACTTGTTTAAAACATCCAGTATATATTATACAGTGTAGACAATCTTTAGCTAACGCAACATTTTAATCAAGCAGATGAAAACATGTATTGGCAGATTAAAAGTTGCTGAACTGTCTGCAGCTTAATAAATGGTAATTTTTAAACACAATATCGACCGATGATCGAAGCTTTAAATGTATGAGCAATAGCCTTAAAAGGTGTGTTCTTTAATCACGCTAATTATTGCTGATTCGGTTCTGTGTTTTTGTTTGTTTTAAAAAAATCCAATCTTTCTACCTGTAAACCACATAAAACAACGCAAAGGCAATCAAGACAAAACTGAAATTTAACTACTATAATTTCACACAAATGTGCACATTTCTGTTCTATATTATATTAAGTTTCTTCTGCAATACCTCACTGTATGAATCTATTTTCATTTTAAATGTCTAATTTTTTTTTGCTTTCTTTAACCTGTTTATGTACGTTGAAGGGTTAATTTTATACAGCTTATTGGGGTAATATTTATGGCCTTCATTTAGGACATTCAATGTGTTTTTATTTAATTTATGGTTTGTATTGCAATGTAGTTTTAGATAATTTGTTGCTCACAATTCTTGGATTTCCTTTTCTTTGAGAAACATCTGGAAACTAAAACACATTTCCAAGTATTTTTTTATGTAAACAATTGAATGCATGACTGGTATCTCTCATAGATCAAGCTCTTTTCTGCATTAGGAATGGACCAGCGCAGATCCCGTAGTCCGCTTACCAACTCCCACCACCACTACCCATCACACAGACGGGAAGGAGATAACAGAAGAATAAACCACCGTGACAATGCACATTTCAGACACACAAATCACCACAGGCACCAGATGGGCGCAACTCCAGATCAAACCCCGCTCCGGTCCCAGACTTTAAGCACAAAGAAGGAACACTATGAGAGAGACTTTCCATTGTACAAGCAGCCAGTGGAAGTGGGGTGTTTCTCCCTGGACTCTCAGCGTAGGTTTTTCAATGACAACAGGCAGATGAGATACTATGTGGAACCTGACAGAAATCCCAATTTTGATCTAAGGGATGGTTATAGGGAGCGTTATGTAAAGAGGGATGAAAATGTGAAGGAGAAGCTGGACCATATCCTGCGGTGGATAGTAGCCAATAAGTCAAAGCTGAAAAAAACCTCATGGTGAGTTTTTGGTCAAGAATATGTAAAATAAAAGTAGAATACTAAACGTCATTACGACCCAACTCTGCTCCAATCAGCCCTTTAGACTTCGACTTTGTGACCTGGAGGGGCCACCTGACCAAGCTGCTCACTACGCCGTACGAGACGAAAGAGGGCTGGATGCTGGCTGTGACCCGATTTAACGGCACGCTCTACATCAGCGAGGTGGAAACCGAAGCTGCTCGCAGAGAACGCCTGAACCGCCCAGAGCGGAACAAAGAGATGATGTACTGGGGATACAAGTTTGAGCAGTACATGTGTGCAGGTAGGTTTGCTTTTTTATTGTTAATACAAACTGATCATTGAGAGTTTTTATCCTCTCAGTGACATAGGCTCTGCTGTTTTTGATGATGTGGATTTCTTATTCTGTTTTAAATCTGAATCTCTCAGTTTCCAGAAAAGACCACAAGCAAGAAAATGAAAAATATTGGTGCTGTGTTCAATGTGCAAATGTACCAATATACAAATGGTATAAATTCACACCATTTAAAGGAGAAGTTCGGTTTTTTACACTTTAAGCCCATTTTCTGTAGTGTCCAGGATGAAATCGAATGAAGGACACCAAAATTTTGACAATTGCTCCTGTCTCTGCTTTTTGGCTCATTTAGAATCCACCCCTGGCTGCTTTAGAATGGCTAGCATAGAGCATGTCCGATAATGTCCTTAAAACAACCTTAAACGTTCTTTTTTTAAAATATGCTACTCACCGGGTCGTCAGCGCTGTTCAATGACGTTCCAAAAAAAGTTTCGTAAAGAAAAAACGTTCCTGTAGTGTTTTATTTAGCATTTTGTAAATCCCATTGAGTTCTGTAGGAATAGTCAATTTTCCGCTGCCACCGGAAACGGAAATGGAGCCTGTTTACACAGTTGTAGTCTTTTCGCTTCACTCTGTGTACTCCGACGTCGAGAATCAAGAATCCACCTTTCGTATTCCATTTTCAGAGTTTTTTAAAGTGTTTAACAGAGACGTTAGCACCTCGACGTCGGAGTACACAGAGTGAAGCGAAAAGACTACAACTGTGTAAACAGGCCCCATTTCCGTTTCCGGTGGCAGCGGAAAATTGACTATTCCTACAGAACTCAATGGGATTTACAAAATGCTAAATAAAACACTACAGGAACGTTTTTTCTTTACGAAACTTTTTTTGGAACGTCATTGAACAGCGCTGACGACCCGGTGAGTAGCATATTTTAAAAAAAGAACGTTTAAGGTTGTTTTAAGGACATTATCGGACATGCTCTATGCTAGCCATTCTAAAGCAGCCAGGGGTTGATTCTAAATGAGCCAAAAAGCAGAGACAGGACCAATTGTCAAAATTTTGGTGTCCTTCATTCGATTTCATCCTGGACACTACAGAAAATGGGCTTAAAGTGTAAAAAACCGAACTTCTCCTTTAATAAACATATATAATAAAAAAGACATACAAAAAAGATCAAAAAATATTAGATAGATTCAGCAACTAGTGCAAAATATTATTGGGCATAACATGCTTATTCTAAAAAAACGCTTTTTACAGTCTTTTAGATTTGGTGGGATTTGCTTAAAGCTACAGTGTGTAATTTTCAGCGACATCTAGCGGTCAGACTACAGACCGCAGCAACATGAACATCTCCCCCCCACCGCTTCTCCCCCCCAACAGTACGGCGAGCGTTACGGGACAAAATGTCTTCCACGACGTCCACATCACCTACCCTCTCAAGTGATGAGGTTTGTTTACATAGATAATTTTACAGATAGTATTTCATTAGTCTGTGTAGGGTATAGATTTCATGTAGACTTAAGATAATAAATATACCCGTTATTTTTTCTACATCGTTGTGACGTCTTGGTGAGCTGCTTTGCATGGTGATATAAACAGACGAAGTAATTGTAGTCATTAGTTTAACAGCGAGATTGTGTTCGCTGGAAGAATATATATCCCCCGTTTACAGAGTCCAAGTCATTTTGGTGGCACGGGGGTTACAACGCGAGGGAGAGGGAGAGGACGAGGGCGAAGGCAGGGAGGCCGTGCAGCTAGGGCCAGGCGAGAGAGGGGAGCCAGCGGGGTGAGAGCAGAGGAGGAAAGGCTTGAAGATCTCCAAAGGAGCCGGAGAGAAGTAACCGAGGTATATATCCAGAAAATTATTTTACAGAAAATTACTGAATCATTACCTGTGAAACGTCAGGGACGTTGCTGAATAAGTATACTGGAGAGTAACAGCATCATCACGCAGCATGTTATTGTTTTAGACAGGTCTGAGCATCCTGTACTCCAAAAACTGCAGTGATATTAGACAATTGTGTGTGTAGGATTAATTACCTGTCCAAGAGAAAACTGGCAACTTGAGCGTCACTTTGAAAACCTTTTTCCTCCATCAGTGACTTCCATCGTGTAAATGCCGTGCCAATGTTGATCCGTGTTTTTTGCCGTTTCTTGTCACGCTTGCGTTTATTCTCGTCGTGTTTCCGCTTCTTAGATGACGGGGGTTCGGTGTCCGCCGCTTTTCGTTGTGATACAGAGTAGGCATGATCCTCCATTCGTCTGATGTTTGGCCACACAGTGCCAAACAGTTTGCAAAGTCACTCACGCCTGCCGCCTTGTTCACCTTTCTTGTTACTGAGGCGCAGTATACCTGCTTCTTCTTCTTCTTTGGTTTCAGGCAGACTAAACGCTTCTCAGGCATAATACTGCCATCTACTGTTCAGTACCGTCTCAGTTAATCTCTCTCAACTTGCCGTAGTTATTTTTGAGCGTCATGGGAGATCTCGCAATCGCTAGTTTGTTGCCTCTGCGCTGCCGTAGCGCAAAGATGTCAGCCTCCATGGCTGCGAGACCCGCTCCTATGTAATTATAAATAACGAATTCTAAGGCAACGCAAATATTATGGTTAAAAGGCTGAGCTCATAGGTGATGATAAATAACATAGTTATGTATAATATATTAAATTTCTGACTTTATATGCCTGTAATTATTACACACTGTAGCTTTAATTATAAAATGGTAAAATGGCGACAACAGTAAAATTTCTCAGGAAAAAGCAG